AACTTTTTATTGCGGAAAATCATATTCTTGTGACTAGCTGTAGTAAATTTTACCATAATCGGCCGGGCTTTATTCTCATCATATTTTCCAATGCGATAGGCATTTTCTATGACATCTTTTCCCACATAGTTTACCTTCATTTTATCCAGTATTGTATCAAGAACAAGTTGCGAACAATTTTCATTAGGTTTTTCTTGAATTCCATCGAATATTATGTTATTACGTCGCAGTTATTTATCGAACCTCTCCTGTTTATCTATCAACGAGTCAATTATGCTTCGTTGCTTGCTTATTTTTTCTACATTCTTTTTGTTTTCTTCTTTCAATGCATCGATTTCTCTGTAGAACTTCTCACTTATTGGTTCACTTATTATTTGTGCCAAATTATTAATGAATTCTTCAGAGGAGCACAATTTACCGACTACATTTTTAACTGCTGAGAGCAGTTCTTCTTCTCCCTTCCTGACATTTCTAGACATGTTAGCGTGTTCGAGGAAAATGAGAAAGAAATATATATGACTTACGGAGATATTTGATTCTTTTTCTACCAAAAACACAACAAGTGCAACTAGGTCACTAGTGTAAGGATTGTGCAAATTTTCAGGATTGTAAACGCACGCGTTCGATAGTTAATAGTCTTTTTGTTCGCACCACACAGACAGACAACTACTCCATGAGGCAGCAGAGACTAATATGAACTAAACAAGTAAACAATTTACATTCTGTTAGATATGGCATAAAAATGTGAATCATATATTGTTTTGGATGCACATACGTGGCAACGATTTCAAAATTTGAATAGAAACTTTGATAATAATATTTATTAGAGAGACAAATTCTTTATTAGGGTATCAGAGGCCACCTCTATCCTGCAAATTCATCAGCCCTAGAAGATAACTATCGTTTCTAGAAGCAGAAATTTTGTCCAAACATATCTGACAATTATTGAGCCTTTCTTCAATTGTCCTGAGTAAATACCCAGACATCATCGCTACTGATGCTGATGATATCCCATACAATCTAGTATCTCCAAAATCGGACCTTATTTCGTTCAACGAATCTAAAATATCATCTGAAAGACGAAAAATTGAATCAGAATTTGGAGACACTTCCTGTTTGTATATACTTGGACCAACACTTAATACATGTGATGCCAAGTTGGCACCTTCTGCTGACCTGATGATGCCACATTTCGATATTCTTCTCAAAGAATAGTGAGCTGCTCGAGCATCGTTTGCGTCCTGGAACCCTCCTCCCTCGCGTATCTGGCTGAAGAGGGCTTCGACTGAATCAGAATTCAGTCTTCTTGTCAATACTAAATAAAAACCATCATTCAACAGAAAAGTTTAGTTTTTACTGTACTTTCAGCGGTGACTAGCATTGCATCTGTTGTTTCTTCACTGAGACCCTTAAACCCTGCCTGTTTTGAATATTTCTAGATGTTCATTATATATTGCGGAAAATAATTAGTTAGCCACTCTAATCTTTCGTCATTGATACTCATATTAGGCGCAGACAATACATCATTTTGCCTTATATGTTGAGTCTCCTCGTTAACATCATGAAGCTTGGAAAATGAGTAAATAATTTCCATATATTGAATTGTTGCATCACATTCTTCAAAATCCTCATGATCGTTGCTGTATTTTGCCAAACATTCAATACTGCTAGTTACCTTTGGGGAGAATAGTTGGACGGCCCTTTTGACATTCAATTTTTCTATGTTGGTAGGCATAACATGTCTACAAGTGAGGAATGGAACAGGTTTCACAAAAAGATTTTTTTGTAAATTGTAGAGTTTTCTAACAAAATTTGCCGTAATTATTCCTTTTACGGAGACCATATTATTACTAAGAAATAAGTTTTTTATGATGTGACAATAGTCGAAACTTGAAAACAATAGCATGTTGGGTGTAACTAAATGTTGTACTCCACTAACTGAATGTCCTTCACCAAATTTTTTGAACAATGCAACATTCGATTTATGATTGTCAGTAACTATCCTTGAAACCCGAAATCCACATTCATGTATCTGTTTCATTATCTTTACTGTTAATTCATGAAATTTATCTGTGGTTGACTTCTTGTGGAAGAAATAACCAGCAGGTATTGTCACTTTGGTGGAGAGGCCATGCAAGACAAAACACATTTGCTGGTTTGCTAATGCTGGCCTTTCTCCAATAGGGTCGTCGTCTGTCGAAGTATCTAGTCCAAAGTATTTGTCTTCTTTTTTGCCGTAGGATATTTTCTCTCGAATATGCATGTCGTCGATTATAAGTGAACAAACTTTTTCAATATTACTTTGTTGTTCAGCTTCAATAGTAAGACGCGTCCTGATCAGATTCGTCAGTCCTATCTCGTCATTATCATTTCCTAAATATCTCTCTAGCGTTGAACGAGATGGAAGCTTTAGGAAGTCCCTTGCAAAAAAATATCCTTTTGGAGACTCCATAACACACAGTTTCTAATTGTCATTTCTGACCAGTGAGGTTTTTTTGGACCAAAATCATTTATTTGGTCCATCAAAAAAACTGCAAATTGGTCTTCTGTCTTACAATTGTCTTAAATATTCTTTAGTTTGTTGTTTTCAACTTTTAGCTGATCATTTTGAGCTTGAAGATTCTGTAGTCTCTCATTTTTGTTTACCAACGCATTTTTCAAGTAAGTCTCGCTTGCTTCCAGTTTTCGAATAGTATTTTTCAAAAGCAAAATGTCGTTATCATCAATCATACACGACGACTCTGCATTAAATATGGAACAGTGTCATGGGTGGATTGATCATAAGGGGTGGGAACAGGATTGGTATGGACATCAGAAATTGGTTCAGCTGGAAGATTAGGTACTGGAATCTAGAAAAACGTGAAAAAAAATTGTTGAATCTTTATTGACCGAATCAAGTTATTTTTCAATTAACACTAGTTCGACTAAAATTCATGAAAATATGTTGAAGCACATGGTGAGCCTTGAAAAAATATTTTTGATGTATTTGTTACATTACATACATTACAGCTACTTTGTGAGCATTGAAATATGTGTATGAATTCAAATATTGGTGAGGACAAATCACTTAGTAGCTGAATTCATTGTCATACCTACTACATTTTAAATGTAATGAAATATGTTTTTATTGCTTGGAGCGCACGAAAGGGAATTCCTATAAAGTTCGAAGAACATTGTGCGTACCTAGGGAGGATAGGAAGAGGAGGTACGTGTTGGGATTGGAGATTATGAGTGCTGTTCTACATATTTCGAAGTTGACAACGAAAGGATGTGCTGACTGGGCTTGTCGAATTCGTCTGACTGATGGTTTTGCTAGATGAGGAATGAAAGCAGAGATTTCTGAAAAACATTTCCTGTGGTTTAAGGTTTATCGAATTCTTTATTCGAATGTTTGAAGAGTTGATAACTTTCTGAAATAATTTTGAAGTTTCAAGGTTACTGGCTCAACCCAAACTTGAACCTATATTTGATATATTGAATGGATAACTCGATCTAGATGATCTAGATAATTGAGTTTAGTTTTTTGAAGTTAACTACAACAATAGGCTAGATATAGTTTTGAATAGTAATAATTATTATCAATAGCTATATTTATTCTACAAAGATCAACTATATAAAATATCTGATAATCAATATTCACATTCTAGTGCTCAAACAAATAGTTGCAGAAGCAAATTTCATTCTATAAATTAGTGATTATAAAGTAAGTTTCAAAATAATATCTCCAAAATAGTCCCAGTTGAAAATGAGGAAGTGTGAACTCTATTGTTTTTCTAAATTCAATTAGTGAATATTGCAGTTTGCTTTATGTTCAAGTGAAACCAGTAACAAAAACTTTGGAATCAATTCAGAAATAAGGGGATATGAAATATGAAAATTTCGAAGATGAGTTTGAGAAACTTTGTAGCTTATTAAAATTCAAGAAAATATCTGGGTATTTATTTTCCCTTTTGAAACATGTCTTCGAATTTCAAAACTAGCTTTCAAAGAATAAGTACTGTGTCCATAAAGTAAACGAATTCTCCTAGTTAACTTTTGAATGGCTGGAATTTGTTCTCAATTTCTCATTTTTCGATGGCAGTTTAAGTGTCAGAAGAAAAATATGTGAATGATGAAAATCATAGTTAACTTACTTCAGACACATTTACTTCTATATAGATGACATAAAATAGATACAGTTAGCAATTTTAGGTCTTTGAGTTTCTCTAGAGTTCAATCAAACGCTTTGGTTTCTTTGGTAATAAATGATGATTTTGAATTTGAAATTGTGAATTATTTTTGTCACCTATGCAAAAAATATATGAATTATACCTAATGAAGTGATTTTTTGATGGTCACCTACATTTGCGAATCTAAATCTGAGTACTCTGACTCAAAATCTGATTTAATGGTTTTCGGACTCTTAGACCGACGTTAACATTTTCGTCACATTCAAGTATGTTAACAACCGAAGGTTAAAATGAAATGAAAAAACAAACAAGAAGCGAAACTCGACAAAATATACAGAATTTCAGCATGTGGATTACAATCAATTGATTCACCTAACTACGTATTTCAGTAAGGTGGTACTTGAAATTATTATAAACAGGATTTCGTGGTATAAAGGTTGAAAACCACTGATCTACACTGAATGACAAGAACGAAACATAAAATCTAGGAAAATTCAATCGAATTTCAAGTCTATAGTGTTATTCATTGAAATTTCATACCTCAATTTATGATATTATTAAACTAATTTTTTTTTGATATTCTATCACCTGCGATGGCAAAGATACCGCTAAGGAAAAGTAGAAAAAGTAGAATGTGAATTTTACTTGGTATTGCATCAATTCAAGTTGTTTCCAGTAAGTGAATTAAGGAAATCCACGGATCGAAACGAAACAAAAAGTGATACAACAAAAACTTCGACAAAAACAGTGTCTATACATTGTCTTGTGTTGGTCTCCCGATTTCTCACAAATTCTACGACAGGTCAGGACCCAGGAGAATTTCATTCGACTATGAGTTCCTATAATAGATGCCTCGGGTGTAAAAAAGAAGCTCTTGAGGATAGAACCACTTTCAAATGTGACGGATGTAAAAGACTCATTCATATCACTTGTGCAGGAGTTACAGCAACAGAGGTGAAATGTCTACAACTATCGTCGAGGAAAATGAAATATTTTTGTGATGATTGTGAAGAAGGCTTATTACAAGTACCAATTTTGAGAAAACTTCTAGAAGAGTCACAAATTGAGGTCGAGAAACTGAAGAAAACTAATATGGTTGGACTGCAAGATAAACAACAGGAGGTTGATAAACTCAGAAAAGAAGTCAAAGAATTGAGGGAGCATGGAGATTTTGGAAATGTGGAGAGTATGTTCGAAGAAATCAACGAACTATTGAATAGAGCAAATGATTTGATGATCTACAACGTTCCAGAATCTAGATCAAGGGATCTTAAATCAAGAATAGATGATGATAAAGAGAAAGTTAGAGAAACAATGCAAATTCTTGATATACGTGATGCGGAAAGCAATATTCTGAAAGTTCTTCGTGTTGGTCGTTCTGATGGTTCTAGAGCTAAACCACTGAAAGTTGTGTTTTCTAATAGTTATCTCGTCAGAGAAATGTTGAAATCGAAACAGAAACTGCAGCAATCAAATTTTAGGATAAGTGCAGCTCAAACGAAATTACAACAGGAAATATTCAAAAAAGTGAAAAAGGAATTGATGGATAGGCAAGAAAATGATGGGAGAAATCTAACGATAAAATATAGAAGAGATGTCCCTAGAATTGAAACACTTAATATTGAAAAAAACTAGAAACTCCCTCATTACATGTCTATTGTCACAATGTAGGTGGATTACGCACAAAAATTAAAGACTCACTGGTATCCGTTATGTGTTCAAACTACGACATAATCATAATTGTGGAAAGTTGGTTGTCAAGCGACATATCGAATTCTGAGATCAAAATAAACAATTATAATATATTCAGGTGTGATCGAGATAGAAACAGCAGTAGTAAATCTAGAGGAGGGGGAGTACTTATTCTTGTGAAAGAAGCAATAAGAGTTAAACGTTCGAGAGTATTGCTTAATAGTGTTGAACAACTGTTTTTATCATGTTCAGTCGAATCAGATAGCTTTGTCATAGGTGGTGTTTATATACCACCTCAATCATCTGAAGAGAAATATTTTCAACACATTGAAACGGTCGAGAGTTTGTTGCACGAGTTGAAAGATACAAATTTCTATATTTTTGGGGATTTCAACTTACCAGAAGCAACTTGGCATAACGATGAGGATGGACTGACAGTGAACTGTCCTCAAGGTTCACATGCGTTAGTGCTAGCACAAAGTTATGCATTTTCGAATTTCTTTCAACAAATTACTATACCAAATGATAGAAATGTATACTTAGATCTAATGTTTTCGAATGTATCTGACAATATTGTTAACACCGCTATCGATAATATTTTTCCAAATAGTACACACCATGTAGGCTACCCCTTTGATATTTCATTGGTGAAACATCAAGTGAAAGACAGTTTGAAATATGGTGAGTACTATTACGATTTTAAAAATGCTGATGTTATAGGACTAAACAACCATTTTGCTGCTATACGTTGGAGTGAATGTCTAAACAATAGAGATATAAATATCTCCACATTAGAATTTTATAATATTTTGAATATGGCTATAGCATTATTTGTGCCTCTCAAAAAATATAGGAATTCGTCTTTCCCTAAATGGTTTCCAACGGAACTTAGACACTTGATTACACTTAAAAAAATTGCTCATCAGCAATATAAGGCTAGCAAATGTGCTCTTGATTACCAACACTTTTCAGAACTCAGGACTGCATGCAAGAATTTATCAAAAGTTTGTTATGAGAACTATATTTTCCGTATCGAATATTCATTGAATAATAACCCTAAATATTTTTGGCAATATTTGAAGAGTAAATCGTCCACAAATACAATTCCAGATACAATGTTTCTTGATGATAATACTGCAGAAAATGGTGAGCAGATTGTACAATATTTTGCAGATTATTTTTCAACGGTTTATGTAAAACCATCAATAAATTCGAACTGTGATGATTTTCAAGGATTTAACAACTTCTATATTTCTAATCCGGTGTTGAATAGCTACATGATTTATGAAAAAATTTCCAAGTTGCCCAATAAAATGAGTAGTGGTCCAGATGGAATTCCTAATATGTTTTTGAAATACTGTATTTGCTCCTTAACTCCTGCGTTACTTGTATTATTCAAGCTCTCACTGGATACGGGCATATTTCCTGATGCTTGGAAGGATAGTTATATTATCTCAATTTTCAAATCCGGAGACAGAGAAAATATCAAAAATTATCGGGGCGTTTGTAACCAATCTGTGATTCCGAAACTTTTCGACTCTTTAATTGCCGATCAACTCAATTATTGTTGTAAAGAGCTGTTAATCAGTAACCAGCATGGATTTTCAAGGAACAAGTCCACTGTCACAAACTTGCTAGTTTATGAGACCAAAATACTAAATGCTTTGGAAAATAAATTTCAGGTTGACGCTATTTATACTGATTTTTCTAAGGCATTTGACAGAGTAGATCATTCCATTCTTTTGTCTAAACTAGGAGCTTTTGGATTTTCTGATTGGTTTTTGAAATGGTTGAAAAGCTTCCTAACAGGCCGTAGACAGTGTGTTCGAGTTGGCTCGTTCAGATCCAGTCATATACAGGTTTCATCAGGAGTACCTCAAGGTTCTCATTGTGCTCCCATTTTGTTCAACATTTTTGTGAATGATATCAGTAGATGTTTCGTGAACTGCGAGTTTCTATCATTTGCTGACGATTTGAAATTATTCCGAACAATGAATTCAAAATTTGACCAAATCAATTTACAAGAAGATTTAAACAGATTGAATAATTGGTGTATGGAAAATAATCTGCATCTAAATATCAATAAATGTTGTTTCATTAGCTTTTTCAAGGGTTATAAGAAGTTTGATACTGTATATAGTATAAACAATAGTCCTCTCAGATACGTTCCAACTGTTCTAGATCTAGGGGTCACTTTCGATGAACAAATGAGATTTGTAAATCACCTAAACACAATTTCAGTGAAATCATCAAAGATTTTAGGAATGATTATTCGTAATTGCTCTGAATTCTCAGTGGATTCTATAAGGAAGGTCTATATGTCATTGGTCATTTCTAAACTGACTTATGCATCTATTGTCTGGTCTCCTCTTTATCAGGTTCATAATATAGCCATGGAGAGAGTACAGAACAAATTTCTGAGGTATTGTGCCTTCAAATTGAACATTTGTTGGGAAAACCATCGATATATGCATATTATGAACGGAATTAACTTAATTCCATTGCGTAGTAGAAGACTCAAGTTAGATTTATGTTTTATCTTCAAATTATTGAATGGTGCTGTGAACTGTCCGGAACTACTGGAGTTAATTACGTTTAATGTTCCAAATAGAGTCCTTAGATTTCCATATTTATTTCAAATACCATTTCATGTCACAAATTATGGACAGCATAATCCAATAGAAAGGACATTAAGATTCATAAATAAAAATAATCTAGATGTATTAGGATGTTCATTTAATAAGTTTAAGATGTCTTTGCGTGATAGCTTATAGCCTATTGTTTCGTTTCATGTTTTTATTCTTCTCTTTTCCTTATCGAAATTGTTAAGTGAGTACCTATGTGTTGGGACATGGTGAATATTAATTATATTCATTATATTCTTATATTCATACTGTATTCAAACTTGTAATGGGGGTTTCCCGTAAATAAAGAAATAAAAAAAAAATAAAAAAAAAAAATGTAAATATCTCCTCTGAGGAAAAATTATTGTTGGAGTTGAAGTTCTTTCTGTAGTTTGCTTGCAATTGTTGGAAATATTCATCAAAAAATGTCTGCAACTCTGTATTTATTGTGAATTGAATCATACTTTGTAAATTTGTACCAAATGCTCAACATAAAAATAAAAGAACAAATATTAGTTTGCATAATTACCATCATAGGAACATGCTGTGATTTATCCACAATTCCTTCAGTATTGGTTCTGTTGTAACCAGCCTGAAAAATTAACAGTTCCTGATTGAGTATCTGGCATTTAGTTTCGAATTCCTGAAATCTAATACAAATTGTCCTATAAAAGGCCCCGCGCACCATAGTTTTGATTTCAAATAAATAAAATGAACACATTTAATGATATAAAGAACAGTACAAAATGGTAGGAGTAATATTAAAAAACAAATTTTTGTGTGTTCCTATATTTCTTATTTAATCAAATTCAGGTATTTTATTCTGAGTACAACGAAACATATCTTGGATAATTTTTGTTATTCGATTGGGAAAACTCAAAACTTTCCATTTTTACCTATCCTAATGCATGGAACCTCAAATTCAAACATTCTTCAGTGAAATAGCATCCGGGAAAATGAAAAGTACAGCATATGATTAAGCATCTGTGCAGTTTTCAAATAGATGAGCAAATTTTGGAAATTGAAAAATACAGGGTGTTCTTCTTGTAATCCAGAAAAATTACCAATTTTTGTTAATCCCGACCTGGATTCTTCTCTTGACTGATTGGTGAGTCGTTTGGGTAGAAGAAAAAATTGTGTACCGAAATCCAAAAGAATATACTGGGTAGATCATAAGTTATGCAGTCACAAAGAATTGAACAAAATTGGTAAAACTTGTAAGCCCCTACAAAAATGGTATTTTCAGAACCACCTTGATGAGCTCTAACCACTGTTGAAATTTTTGCGCTTCCCAATGAGACACCCTGTATACGTAGGAGCTTCGTTTTCGATCTACAGTGAGTAAAGATTTTAGATTTTTCAAATGTTCTTTCAAATGTTCTCCTACAATTTTCAAAATATTGGATTGAAATTTGGTACCCCTATTACACTAAAAAAAAAACAATATTCTTATAACCTACTTGTACCCAGTTCAACCCTATTGAATCTTTTGCTAGTTGTCAATTGAACGGATATTTCAGATTATCTATTTTATTTGGATACTTTCTGCTCTTCTGTTTTTCGAAAACTATATGGACTGGGCCAGATGAATGCCAAAACTAATTTACTTGTGATAAAACTATCAGACATTTATTAATAATTGACTATAAGATCTGGAATGATCGAAAGTTTTCATTAGGTGTATTATATGATACTCTAGAGAAACACAGGAAATATGTAAAAATATCACACTGCCTGTATATTGGAAAAGGTGCTCATATGATTTATTAATTTATTATGCATTGGTAAACTGAATTCAGAGGAGAAAATAAGTATATATGTAATTATTTAATTACTTACATCTGAAAAAGCCCAGTCTGAGGTTCTGAAAATCCTTCCATGTGATGTTGATGGCATCATGATAGCTTCAGTAGGTTGCTAAATTTTCAAAAAATTAGTTTGTTTCAAAATGAAAATAACTAAAATGTTCTCATGTACTTGGTTACAATGATCTTGATTTAAACAATACATAATCTTTGATAATGATTCAGAAGAAATAATATTTTCATTTGATGGTACCTGAGATGGTATAGGTACCTACCCTCTCTATATAAGAATATATTATATTCATATAATTATGTAGGTACTACTCAGTACCTAGTTTTAATCAGATGAATATCTACATAATTTTATACAACAAAATACAGATCAGAATTGATGTACATGAGTAGAATGAATAGTTAGCTCTGATGTGGGATCCATATTCATTTTATCCAAATAATATCAGAAATACAGCATACAATTTGAAATTGAACTTGAGGAAAGTACATCAGCATATATCTAACACTATTTTGTATTCTGGCTTTTTCAATACTATAGATACATGAACACTTTTATATATGATTAAAGCACGAAATATACTGAGCAAAGTTTCATATCGAATTGATAAAAGTGGGTTTAGGTACTTACTTCAAAAATTGTTGGTAATGAACCCTTCTTGAGGAGTTTCCTTTCATCTTTGGAAACATGGAAGTATTCTTCAGTGAAATGTTTGCTGCAGACGACAGAATATTCTCCAATCTCATACCGTTCCACACCTAGAAAAATTAGGTAGGTAAGTAAATAAATATTAACAAGTGTTGCTCAGTTGAGGACATAACTATTATATTGATGTTAATGTTCTTACCAGTTGTCTTCACTATTGAATTCAACCATTCATGTCTCAGAGAAACATCATTGGGAAATCCATGAATAGAGATTGTCCCACTCTTTCTGGATTGACAAAAAGGTACAGCACAAATGTGTGAAGGCATTTCTCAGCTAATACCTACTAAATTTATCTATAAAAACACTATAACTAATAATGATTAATAACAACTATGCCTAACTTAAGCTAGGTACCAGGATAACTAATACTTGCTATAAATACTTAATATATACTACCAAAACTAGCAACTTTATTGAACTTAGAATTACTTACTATAGAGTCTAGAAATTATCAAGGAACTCACATCTACTGAGTTCTTATACTAATATAAAACCAAAATGATCTATTCTAATTATACACAGAAGAAATTAAGAAATATACTTACCTAAAACCAGGGTGGAGTGCCTAACACTAACTATTCTAAACTAAATAATGTTTTATCAAAGTAAAAAATCATAAATTTGAAAACTCGAAGGGGATACAGTTCACTAGTTAGAAAATTACACAGTTTGAATTCGATTCCACACACTTTTTCCTCGAAAGACGAAAATTCACCAAACGAAACTTCCAATTTAGAAATTTAAAATTTCATAACAAGAAACAAATGAAGATCTGGTATGTCGATCAGCGCCACTTTAGCGGTCAACACTGAAGCTGGTGATAGAGCAGACCTGATAGTCCAGGCAACTTGATTTTTTCTCACATTCAGCCGACAATGAATCTACACGCTAGGATTTGAAAATACGCCAGTCGGCCAGTCGTACATAACCCCCTTTGTATAAGGTGAGTGTGTCTTTCTTTTCACCACCAAACGTCGGTCCAGGAGTATGCATTGAAAATTCACTCAGAATATTTGTTTGGGGTTACTGGTTAGCATCGCAACTTCTAGGTATTAGTAAGAACATTCTTGGTTCAAGAGTATGCGATATAATCACAGTCGAGTGCTATAATTATGGTCAGTTCAAACAACCAATTCTAGGTTGCATTTAACACGAGATTTTTGGATATCTTTGGTACGCTATAATGTGAAAGTATTATCACGGATTGCACTCTTCTATGTGTACTTATTTATATACCTAGTGAATGAAAAGTATTAATGTTACATTCTCTTTTCGAATTATTTGGTTTCTGTCCACTGATACAGTATTGTAGTTGAGCTGTCTACAAATAGACATCTAGAATTTCTCTACTATCTCCAAGCTACATGATATCAGCTGGAAGAGGCCCACCTCTTAATTTTACCACGGTGATGAAGACGGGTTCAGCAAAAGGACCATACGCAGGCGAGAGTGTTTTGTCATTTATTTATCACCCTTTCATATCTACATCTTCAATATTCGATATTCCCTTGGTTCAAATAATAATACATGACATCTCACCACCGTTATTATCTCAACTCGAAGAACAATAATGCGGCGTAATTTTGTTATTCCAAGAGTTATTGAAGTATTTGTCGATATTGAAATATTTTGATTCAACATCAATGACATTTATGCGTCGACTCGAAATCGTAACATATTTGATTCCCATATGTAATATATTGACACCCTGCAGCACCATGGAGGAATTAACTTGTTCCTATTATAGTTGGATTTCATTCATTTATTTGTTCCAGCAAGGTGCTCCCAACATGCTCACATAACATCCTGTAGAGTATCATTTGGTTGCACAACTCTCCAAATGATGAATACAATTTCCTCTTATTGTAAGTTGCTCTGGAGCTTCTTCCTTAGTTTTAGTTTTGATATCATATAGCATTCTTGATCTTCAAAATCTGAAACAAAACCCAAAGCTAGTTCATACCGACGACGAGCTGCCGTTTGCATGTGGAAAGAAAATGTCATTAAAAAAAATATTGATCACAGTCTCTTGCGAGTGAACTTTTCAGCACCTACTCTGATTGAGATATTTTCTATCACAAAGCAACGTCACTCGATCATGAGAACAAGCGGCTCGTACAGTCAATCAATCAGTCAGTACCAGTAAGACAGAATAGATGTATAACTTTGTGTATCAAAACTCTCCGAATGCATAGTAGTTATAAATCAGTGATTTTCTAGAAAAAAAAATCAGTTCATGAATGAATAGTGTCAGTGGTCATTTCTGTTCATGACTAGCGTAACAATATGATCAAGAATCGAACATTGCATTGTTCTTGTACTTCATTTTCAAATAAGAGTCATTCTTCAAATAGTGTTTCTTGATACATAATGAGTAAATGAAATGTTCATCAACATATTATTCCTCCGATTGTTTCTTCAGTAAGTCTTGATGAAAGAAATACACATTTCCGAAGGCTCGACGAAAAACGAGGGAACTGAACTCGTTTGACCAAATTCAAATGCTGAAATAATAAGAATCCTAATCCAATGAACCAATGAATGAGCATTCTGTTTCAAAAAATTATTTGCATGGACTATGTGTGTGCTTATAAATAAAATCAGTAATCTTTTTCTCAGATTCTCTGATGACTTCAATCTGAGTTTTTACACTTCTTATCTAATATCACGTTTGTTTGTCAATAATAAAGATGAGATTCCTCTTCTTCATCAACCAGGTGTATATAAATTATCAAAATGGTTGACGGATAACCAGAGTCAATGCGAAAGCAAAGCAAAAAGTCCCTCTCCTTTAGATGAATGAAATACTAGTAGTTTCTTTGCAAACCACATTCTCACCACCAAATATAGTTTCAACATTGACAATAATTTGGAAATTTTACATGTATGCCAAAAAGGTCGTCTTTTAAATTTTCTAGAAATTTATTAAACAAACTTTTCCTTGAAAAATGATAATGTAATTTTTCTCCGATTGGCAGCAAATATTAATTTTGCTGACACATATCAATCAGCAAAGTATTACTTTTCCTGCCTAGGCAGCAAAGTAGGTACTTGCCTAGGCAGCAAAGTGGTTGCTTTGCTGATTGATATGTATCAGCTGTACCAATAAAACATAGTTTTGTACAATAAAAATTATTGTACAATAAAAATTTATTGATTGTACTTATTTATCTTTATTTTGCCTATGAGCTGCTCTAATTTCGGGAGGTCGTGAGCAAGTGAAAGCTGTTAGTAAATCAGAATCCTTTTTTAGATAATTACTAGATAATATGAGATAAGATATACGTAAGATAAGATAAATTAGATAAGGTAAGATAAATGAGCGCCATGTATTTTATTCCTGGTTAAAATACAAAAACCAACAATCTATGCAAGAAGAACAGTAAAACAAATTCACAAGCTTAACAATCTAATTTCATGTGAAATTGACTATGTATTTACAAGAAAATATATATATACAAAAATGTTGCAAAGTTTTGATTGAAATGAACTTGGGACTTGTTTTCGAGCAATGAGGGACACTTACTCCCATCGAACTTCTTCCTGAAGAGTTTCCTGAATTTTTGGATGGTTCTTTTTCCTCCTGTCGGACTTTGACATTTCCTTGGTGAGTGAGTTCAACTACTCAGTTCATCGAACTACTTCCCCATCAGGTGAACTTGGGTCAATTCGTATGTCCCAGGAGGTTTCCTTCTCTGGAAGTCTTGCAAATCCACTGGATAATGTTGCAGGAACTCTTCGTTTCTTGCTGCTGTGCTAAAAGCAATAGAGCGAACAGAATCTGTCTGATACGTGATTTTAGAAGATCGTGAAACCTCAATGGAGTGTCAAAAGTGCCATCAGACTCAAAACAAGTCTTACAAGTTCTTCAGAATTTTACAAAACTGATAATAACCAATAGAGATAAAGTGACCATATATACAGATATTCATCAGGAAGTAATATATACAATGATATACAATATAGGGAAAGATAAGATAAAATAAGATAAGATAATATTTAACAAGAAGAGAATTGCAAATTTGACAAACATCCATCCTAGAGATAATGTAAGAAACATTGTATTGAAGGATGCAATATTACGCAAAAAGATAAATGACAAATTAGATAGAATCAGATACACGATATAGAATGAAAGATAAGACATTTTAGATACTGAGATTTTCAATCTAGTAGGTAATTCAAAGTTGTTTGAATTCAATTAGTTAAGAAAAAGATATATCGACTAGCAGATAAGTGAATGGCATCAAGTTAAGTAAATAAGATATTTAAGATATCGAAGTTTATTTCTATTTGAAAAGGTAGGTAGCTTTTAATCTTGCAGATAAATCAAAATTATTTAATCGAACTCATAATCTTTATGAAACACGATTTTCTAGCCAACAGAGTGGATTGACATGTTCTTCAGTGAGCAAGCAACATTTTACAACAGAGATGACATATAGTCTTGATTCATAAAAGTTTGCTACTCACCTCAGAACGTATTCAATCCTGGATTCAGCTCAGAAAATCCTGTTTCCTCAGACTACAGAAATTCAGTCAGTTCCATTATCAGAATGCCTCCAATGCTCTAATATCTCCAAATTTGGTTTTCACCTCGTGAAATAATTTTACATCTGGAAGGATCCAATGGAACTGAAAGCAGAAAAATATCCGACAGAAACCAACTTCATAATTACAAGTTCTACATTTTCTTTTTGATTACTGAAAAATCAAAAATACACTCATGAAATACTCGTTCATGAGTTTAAAGATAAAATTGGTCAATACTAGTCCTTTCTATACTAGGATGATATTGCCAATCGAAGATAAAGGTAAAGATAAAGATAACGTGAGACCACATGGTGTCTCACCAAAGGAAAATCAATCACATGATTTTTATAATGAAGAAAAATTATTTCCTCAGTAAATAGAAATAAACTTCCTAGGTAATAGAAAATATTAAAGTTAGAATTTATAATGAAAAGAAAACAATATTCAAAAGCAATCCATTCAGTTACCTGTAGTTTTGTTCATATCAGAAAAAGTTGCTCGACGTCTTATCTCTAGGATGGATCTTCGTCAAAAGAGAGCGATCCTTCGTTTCTATCTCCCTGCTTAAATTATTCCGCTCGGAATAAATTCGATATTACAGTGGTGTTGCCAATTTTACCAAAATTACAAGAAACTATTTCATTCAAAAAATACAATTTCAATTTACCACCTTTCTGTCGAATATACATTGAGAAACATATGAAATAATACACTGACAGTTGGAACAAGAATT